CCCCCTAAATTCCCCTCAGTTTGGTGAAATTCACGGATTTTGCAACCCATATGGTTAAACACAATGCCTCCTCTGCTGTTGACTGACTGCACAGAATCATACAAAAAAAAGTGTTGTTTATTGGTCAGTATAAATTAAAAAAAAAACAAAACAAAACATGGTTTCTTATAGTTATCTGTGCACAAGGGTGGCAACAGGTGGTGCTAAAGAGCCTCTGTGTTGATGTCGAAGATCTTGACAGCGTGGTCGGCGCCAGCACTGGCCAGCTGCAGCCAGGCGCGCTCCTCCGGGACCCCTGCTCGGCCCGCGCGGGGCCTCCAGCGCAACCTTTTGATGGCCAGAGTGTGACTTTGTCTGTTGGACGGCGCGTGGTGAAGGTAAAACGACGCAAATGCACGCGGGTACAAGGAAAGGACTAACGCGCTGCTACGGGGAGGACAGAAAGATTGAATATGAGATGGAGAGACAGACAAAAGCCTGGCAGAAGGATACGAAGGGTCTGTTTCTCCGTATCTGATCCAGTCTTGGCCTCCGGCACGATCTCCGCCGGGCCTCCACCCGTACACGATTATCCGACCGCACTCCAGTCCCACGGCCAGCAGATAACTGAGCAGGAAGGAGATAGAGTATCTTTTTTTTTTAATGAGCACTTTAGTTTAACAAACCAAAAATACATATATTTTTTTGTTTTAACTTAATACCTGATTATTTTATAGAATTTTTATGTACCTGTTGTCGGAGTAGAGCTGGGGACAGAAGGTGACGGCCGTAGCAGAATCGCCCACATCCAAGATTGAGGAGCATGGCTTCACCTCAGCAAGAGCGACAGAGTTGCTACGGTTATCCTTTGTACAAGGTCCCCACACCAGCACCTGGAATACACACCAGGTAAGCACTGTGACGCTGTGCCGCGTCGCGCCGACTATGTTGCGGGGAGTCACCTTCTTGTCCCGACTGGACGTCACAAAGTATGTGCCGTCGGGACTCCAATCGCATGACCAGATGATCCGGCTGTGCACCGATGTGTCTTTCGTAGTGTGCGCGTACAAACGATACTGAGGCTCTACACGCACACGACAACAAACAGAGGCGGGCGAAGCAGCAAGTCGCGGCATTATTCACAAATGAAAGTGGGGGTGGTGATAGAAGTAGTCGTGTCATTTGTCGTAGTGCTCGTCGTGGTAATCGTCGCTAGCAAGGGTGGACTCAAAATGATGTGGCGCACTGTAATTAACGAATGGTGGGTGGTCGTAGTTGTGGGGGCGGTACCTGAATGAGCCTGTTGTCGTTGCCACAGAGACCACGTGCGATCTCTGGAGACCAGCAGCAGCATGGCGGCGTCAGGCGAGAAGGCCATCTGCGTGACGGTGAGGGCGTGGCACGGTAGCGCCTGCAGCTGGCGCCACGTGCTGGCACTCCACAGCAGCACCGACGCGTGCTCCGCCTTGGACGCCTGCCGCCCACAAAAAACACAAAAGGTACTACTACCGGACCGGGGGGGGGAC